GGTCACTATGAGTCAGAACTGACTCCACGGCACACAGCCACCACCAGCAGTAACATTTTAGTCTTTGTAGCATGAGATCAAAGGAAATGCCATAGTTGGAGCTCAAACTTTTGACTTCGAGTACTTGTGTTGCTCCAGTGACAGACAACATTTGTAGGTTAAAGGAGTTCTGAAGTGTTTTAGAACACTAAGTACCATCAGTTCTATCCAGTTTATATGATTTTGACATAGCATCAGATGACTAAGCTCTGGTAGCATAGTGGTTACAAATCAGGCTGCTAACTTCAGGGTCAGCAGTTCGAAACTACCAGCTGTTCCGCAGGAGAAAGATGAGTCTTTCTGCTCCCGTAAAGATTTACAGCCTCAGAACCCTGTACAAGGTTGCTATGAGTCGGAACCGACTCCATGGCACACAACAACAACAAAAATTTTACATAAAGAAGATTTTCCAAATATTATCCTTAGGAATAAATGAAAGATGGTACTAAAAATTATTGATGCATTTGCTGCAAAGTATTTCTGTGTGTAATGATTGTAAGATGTTTTAAGATAATATGTGGTGAAATAAAATATGCCAGTATTAATACATAACCAAGCAAATATAAATTAGAATTGACAATATTATTTTTTCTTTGAAACTCTTATTTCTAAAGGACCAACTTTGAGCACTCAAGTATACAGATGTTTAGACACAAACAACCTCTACTAATAACTCACAAAAATTAGTTATAGAAAAGACTTACTGATAGATTCATGGATATTCTTTTAGTTTATTTAACTTATTTATAGACATAATTGCCATTTGATTATGGAAATTAATACAAATTTAATATATTTTCATAAGTTACTTTATATATGTTATATTGTTCTTCATAGAATTTAAGAAGAAAGCACTTAGCACTTGTGATTTTGTCAAATTAAGTCTTTGCTTGATAGTAACTTTCGGGAAGCCTAGTAAAGGTGTGCCAAACAGTTTTGTAAAAGCTAAAAGAAATCATGATATTAAATTTATTTAAAGATACAATCCCTTGATTTTGAGAAATGACCAATGAATTTACTTAGTTCATATGTTGTTGGTGTTTTTTTCATTAAGTGCCATTGAGTCAATTCCAACCCATAGCAACCATGTATAGGGTTTCCAAGGAGCGGCTGGTGAACTTGAACCGCCAACCTTGTGAATCAAACCGACTTCGCAGTCCAGTGTATTAGTCCACAGCACCACACCAGGACTCTATAGGACTTAACTTAGCATATATGAATATATGCTTAATTCATATTGTTATTGTTATTAAGTGCTATTTAGTTGGTTCCGACCCATAGTGACCCTGTATAGGGTTTCCGAGGAGCAGCTGGTGAGCTTGAACCACTAACCTTGCTGTTCAAACCGCTTTGCAGTCTGTTGCATTAACCCACAGTGCCACACCAGGACTCCTTAGTTCATATATGCAACTTTATATTGTGTGTGGAGTCCTGGTATGCAGGACTCAACATATAATATATACACATATAGTATATGCACTGGACTACAAAGTCTGTAGTTAGCAGTTCAGTGATTATCCTACAGCATATTGTAGTTAGCAGTTCAGTAATTATCCTATAGTGTCACCATTATATACATATTTAACACTACAAGGTCAATTTGAACCATAAGATCGATGATTCAAACATACCAGCTGCTCCTCTGAAACTCTATGCAGGGTCGATATAAGTCAGCACTGACTCAAGGTCACTTAAAAACAACAAAATACAAATGAATGGATGTTTTCAAAAGCAAACTGAATTATTCCCTGTGTTCTTGCTAGCTCAGGAATAATATGAATATTAATACATATTGGAGCATGATGACTCTGTAGTACAAGTACTGGACAGCCAACAAGAAGGTCAGCGGTTCAAACTCACCAGCTGGTTTGTAGTAGAAACTCATGCAAAGATTTATAAAAATCCTTGAAAACCTTATTGAGGTTCGCTATGAAGTCAGAACAGATTCTTAATGGCACTTATCAACAACAACAATGTTAATAAATATAATTAACAGAACTTTAGGAGTGCTGGAGATGCTGTAAAACAATACACTGGATTGCCAAACCACAAGGTCAGCAGTACAATCCACAAGTTGTCTGTTGGAGAAAGATGAGGTTTTTCGCTCCTGCAAAGACTTTTAAACAGCCTTGGAAATCTTATATTGGGTCACTATGAGTTAAAACTCACAGGATGGCACATAACAACAGAGCACTAAACTATACATAAAAAGGTTTCTTTGGTGGTGGTTGTTTTTTTTTTTACCCATTTTGATTAGCAATTAATATCAAAGAATAAACTTGGGCTGAACATTTCTCTATAGAGGTCGCTCATTGTCAAAAGTGTATTTTTCCTTCCTTTGAAAACAAACAAAAAAAAAACAATGATGAATTTGGTAACTATATGACTTTTATATTTAGAAACTAAATTTTGTATAACAAGATACAAAATGGTAAGTCTAATTCTGTTTATATTCATCATATATTGGTATATTGGTGTGGCTGCCAATGTGCTATAACAACAGATATTATATAACATTTACATTTAATAGCTGTTTATATGGGGGAGGGTAGTGTATTTGATCCTGGCCCTAATGATACAAAAATGTGTGCCATTTTTGCCAATGCAAAATTTTGATGGTACCAAAACTAAAGTTCCCCCTATGACAGCTGTTGATTGTATAGCTCTCTTCTAGAAAATATCATTCGATTAGCATTTGCTTTCCTCTCCAAGAAGAAGATAGGATTAGTAAAAAAAGGTAGGATGGTGAAAAGAAAGGAAGAATGTTTGTGAAGAGAATGCAATGATGGTGTCTGATCACATATTACTCCCTTAGTATATTACTCTCTTCCCCTAGCCTCCAGGTAAAATATCATTAACCACAAGAGAGGAACAAAGGATCATAATTCTATTTTTTTCATATCAAAATTTAAATTGCAATAGTCATCTGTGATACTTTTAACTTGGCTAAGACAGAGCAAAGTCAAAACAAAAGGCTCAATCTTGATGTGGAAAGGTGAGAGTGTCTGTGAATATCAGCTGCAATCAAAAAACATGTGTGCAGCCTTGGCAGCTATTCTCCAAGGCATCTCTCCTAGTAATTGAAACTGACACAGTTGTTAATTGAAAGAAAGAGATAGCCAGATCCAGATTTCAGATAGTATATTCATAGCTCAGCATAATTATTAGGATCAATGTCTTCATTGGTTGATTAAAAATACAATAGTTAACTTAAAATTTTAAGATTCTGAAAGTGATTATACTGTACCAACACTGCCTTATAAAGTCACCTGACAGAATTTCCCTTAATTGCTGTTTGGTCAGTGAACTTCAGTCTTTTCTCCTTCAACTTTCCAAATAAATCTTATTCCTTTAGAGTCGATTTATGTTTCCCAGCATAATGATGCATTTTACCCACTCAGCTAAGCTGGCGTTCTCTGAAGACAGCCAGAAATGATCTCACCTCACCTACAGTATAAATCTATCAGTGAATAAACAACATCATTTTTATTTCAATGTCGATGACACAGTACATGTCAGTTTGGCAGTTAAATAATTTATCTCTTTTTTGGGGTACAATCTGCCGGGCTTATTATAACTCAACTTCTGAGACTCATTTCATGTTTAATAGTTCTTTGCTTCATGAGGATGCCTGTCAATCAAAGAAATAGAAATGTCATTTTGACCTTTTATTGAAAACAATTTTTACTTTCTTCATTTCATCATAGGATTTTACCCCTTTGATTCAAATTAAAAGCCTTAATTACTAGCATTCAGAAACTTTCTACTTATCAACCTTTAAAAAGTTACATGCTCACCACTGTTACTGACACTATCTTTACAGATGTAATCCAATTGAATCTTCCTGAAGATCAGAAATTAAGCATTACTGCAGCAACTGTGGGACAAAGTGCTGTTCTGAGCTGTGCCATTCAGGGAGACTTGCGACCCCCCATCATCTGGAAAAGGAACAATATTATTCTAAATAATTTAGATTTGGAAGACATCAATGTGAGTACATAAATATATACTGCTTCTTTAAATTTGTATACACTGTAGATTCTGTGAAGTATGGTAAGCTTAATGAATATTGGCTGTAGAGTAGAGGATAATTATTAAAACAATAGCATATCCACTCTAATGACTAGGAAAAGCCTGTAGATCATTTGAAATTATTTAAGCCATCTGTACTGATTTGCTCATCAGATTATCTGGCAGTGTATTTGTGGGAGAAGACATTTGTGCCCAAACTTAGAGAGATTGTCTATTAAAATTTAAAGGCTGATACTCTTCTAACCACAGAAAATCTCCATCTAGGAATTATCCTTATATGCGAATTTAGTTATTTGTGTATAAAATTGTTCACCTTCACAATATTTTTAAAGTAAAAAAACAATTAGAAATACAATTTATAGGATACATGATGTGTGTATATATGCATGTGTGTATCATACAATCCTAGCCTGTAATTAAGATCAAAGAAGGAGATTCATATGTACTGACAAAAAATGTAATATTTGCATACTCATATTATTAAGGAGTCCTGGTGCTGTGGGATAAACGCTGGACTGCGAGGTCAGTTTGAACTGCAATGCTGGTGGTTCAAACTTACCAGCCGCTCCTTGGAAGCACTATACAGGGTCGTTATGGGTCAGAACCGACTCAGTGGCACTTAACAACAACATATTACAATATGGAATGTTCCTAGTTATCTAAAGCCACTGCCATTGAGTTGATTCTGACAGCCTCATCTTTCTCCCACAGAGCAGCTGGTGGGTTTGAACTTCAGACCCTGTAGTTAACAGTCCAATGCTTATAACACAGCACCCACAGGGCTCATATATATAATTTATAAATAATTTCTAAAATTTACATATGTAATGGTTCAGTGTTTGCTCTAAAGAAGGTGAGAAAATCAGGGATAAAATGTAGATTCATTTGCAAGTGATACTCATTTGTACTTAAGGGTTTATTAACAAGTATGTATGCTAATTTTTACTTTGAAAATAATTTTCAAAAAATGTATTTTGGTGAGGTTATTTATTGACATAATTTTGTTGGGATTATTTTTCTAGAAATTAAATACAATTAAAAAACCTTAGAAAAAGGAAAACTACTGGAAATTTCCTGAATTTAGTAGGCTTCATGAATAGGTACATTTCAGAATTTTTAAATATATTGTTTGGTGTGGCACTGTAGGATCAGCACTCTACTAGTAACCACAAGGACGGCAGTTCAAAACCCATCAACTGCTCTTAGAAACTCTTTGCAGGGCACTCTATGTGGGAAGTAACTCAATGGCACACAACAGTCATATTGTTGAATGCCTTGTTGATCTCTCCAGCCTTTGAATTTATTTTTAGACAAGTGGCTTCCATGTTGTCCAAGAATAAATCCATTGCTAGAACATGGTCACTAGAAAATCTAAATGCATATTGTTTAGGAAGCCTCATGTCTGTTACCTATGGAGCACATCCTGGGAAGGAGCAGATTTATGTAACTACAGTTGAATTCATTTCTCAGTCCAACAATGTAATATGAAACACTGATGAGGCAAAGATGCCAAAAGAGGACCACCAATCTGAATGAAGTTGATCTGGGTTATTGTTGAATGGCAGCTAGGGAGTCTCCTAATAGATGGATATGTTGTTGTTGTTGTTAGATGCCATTGAGTCAGTTCCAACTCATAGTGTCACTATGCGCAAAAGAGGGAAACACTGCCTGGTCCTGTGCTATCCTGACAATTGTTGCTAGGCTTGAGCCCATTGCTGCTGTCACTGTGACAATCCATCGCATTAGGGGTCTTCCTCATTTTTACTAACCCTCCACTTTATAAACATGATGTCAATCTCTAGGGACTAGACCGCCTGGACCACATGTGTGAAATATGATAGAAAAAGTCTAAGTACCCTGGCTTCTTCCAACAGAGATTCGTTTGTTCTTCTACAAATCCATTGTGCTTTTAATATTATTCTCCAACATCATACCTAAAATGGGTCTTCAAGCATCTTCCTTATTCATTGTCCAATTTTCAAATACATATGAGGCCATTGAACATACCGTGGCTTGGCTCAGACACACATTTCTTAAAAAGTTTTTATTGTGAATTGAGTGATAGTTTATAGGAGAGAACGTCAGCTTTACATTCATCCTATTGCACTTGTGAGTTGCTGTGATTCTGAAAGCTATGCCACCAGTATTTTAAATACCAGTAGGGTCACCTATGGTGGACAGGTTTCAGATGAGCTTCCAGACAAAGACAGACTAGGAAGAAAGAGTGACAAACTTCTTATGAATATTTAGTCACTGAAAACCTTATGAATAACAGAGAAGCACTGTCAGATATAGTGCCAGAAAATGAGCCCCTCAGGTTGGAAGGCACTCAAAATGCAACTTGGGAAGAGCTGCCTCCTCAAAGTAGAGTTGACTGTGATGATGCAAATGGAGTAAAGCCCATGGGAGAAAAGCCTGTGGGACTTCATATGCTTAAGGGGCACAATCTAAAATGAAGAGAAACAGCTGTAAACATGTATTGAAAATAGGAACATGGAATGGACAAAGTATGAATCTTGGAAAATTGGAAGTTGTCAAAAATGAAATGGAAGGCATAAACATCAATATCTTAGACATTAGTGATCTGAAATGGACTGGTATTGGTCACTTTGAATCTGAAAACCACATGGTTTACTATGCCAGGAATGACAAATTGAAGAGGAATGGTGTTGCAGTCATCATCAAAATAACATATCTAGATCAGTCATGAGGTACAATGCTGTCTGTGACAGGATAATATTCATGTGCCTACAGGGAAGCCCAGTTAATACCACTATTATTCAAATTTACGCACCAATCACTAAAGCCAGTGAGGATGAATTAGAAGAATTCTACCAACTTCTTCAATCTCAAATTGATCAAACATGCAGTCAAGATGTATTGATCATTACTGGTGACTGGAATGTAAAGGTTGGGAGCAAACAGAAAGGATCAGTAGTTGGAAAATATGGATTTGGAGATAGAAATGAGCTTCAGAACACATGATAGAATTCTGCAAAACCAATGATTTGTTCATTTCAAACACCTTCTTTAAACAGCATAAGAGACAACTATATAATATACATGGACCTCACCAGATGAAATACATAGAAATCAAAGTGACTACATCTGCAGAAACAGAAGATGGAAAAGCTCCATATCATCATATAAAACAAGACCAGAGGCAGATTGTGGACAGACCATCAAT